GTAAGCTAAGCTGTAAAGGATGTTGTTGATCGGTTAAACTTTTATCTCTCAGCCTAGATAATTTTTTTGATCAATAATAACACAACCATGTTATTGTTAATGTTTTGTTCTTATGTCAATTAGGGAGATGATCAGAGCCCTAAACCCCAGAGAACCACAGAGAAGATTCAGGAAGAGACACAGAGGTACAGATGTCTGCATCAACCCTACCTCAGTGAATCCAGTGACCTGCTGGTGGAATGTGAGGGACAATATGTCAGTGCTGTCAAACTGGTCAACCAGGTATCTGTGTGCAACAAGCATCATCTACACCCTCAGAGTGAACATTTTCTACTGCTGGAGACACCATCAGCCAGGAGCAGCTGGTTTGTGTCCAGAGAAAACAGACATGTTGATGTTTCTGAAGAAAAACTGTTCAGTGAAAAGGTCCTCAGTGTGTAGCAGTGAGCATTAGACACTGATGTGTCACTGGTTTGAAACTGGTCTTTTGAACTGGAAATTATTTGTTTATTTTTATGTAAGAAAATTGCTTGGAATAGAAATACCATAGTTAACAAATACAACTCAAGATTTGTACTATAATGTGTAACATAATTTTCTTTTTGTTAGAATTTATATTAATTACAAAATTGGTACCGAAAAAAGAACCGTCCAGGAACCGACACCGAAGTGACGGTACCGACACCGTTACCAATACCGATTTTTTTTTTAGAAAGGTACCCAGCCCTAGACCTGACCAGCCAGGCTAGCCAAGTCCTACCTATGCATTCTGGGTACTTCAACACCATCGGAGTGTCTGTTCTCTTCAGCAGGAAACGTAACTTCCAAAAAGAGAGCCAGCCTTACCCAGGAGCATGTTGACATGCTAATATTTTTACATTGCAATGCAAAGTTCCTGAAGAAAGGGAGTGAGTAAGTGTGTGAACCAGCGAGTGGAAGGTCATATTTACTTGTTCTCTACATTTGTAGTAATGCACAAGTGTTCATGTTAAAACAAATCCTGTTACTGGGTTTTCTGATTTGCGTTACTTTATCATTTATGTATTGTTCCAACAGCTCAGGATCTTTAAATAACAAATGCTTCTTTTTTGCACTTCATAAAAAAAAGTATATTTTTGTGTACATTTATTTTTTTAGTGAAGGTATTTGACAAACTTTTTTTATTATTATTCAACATTATACTTACTGAATAGTAAAGTAGCAACCTGTTTTTTGTGCGATTTGTTGTCATTCAAGTGTTCTATTTTGGAATAAAGAGATGGGGAAAAAACACAATTTTTTGCCGAATCATTGATTAATCGGATCGAAAAAATATCGGTTGATTAATCGATTATTTATATAATCGTTTGTTGCAGCCCTAGTTCTTGAGTCTTAACAGCTTCAGGGTAGAAGCTGTTCCTCAGTCTAGTGGTTCTACACTTAATGTTCCTCAACCTCCTGCCCGAGGGGAACAGGGCAACAAGTCAGTGTGCTGGGTGAGTGGGGTCCTTCATGATAACTTTTAATTACAACTAATATTCTATGCAAAGTTTTAAAGGGAGAAGGTTTAAATGGTGCCGTTATTTCATTTAAGAGGCTAAAGATATTTCATAGAGCCTTTTTGTTTAATTTCTGATGGTATTCCACCAGATAGAATCTCCAACATGTTGTTGAAGTTGAAGTCACATCAACAAGAAAATAATCTTTTCACAAAAAGCCATAACATCAAAGTCTTCAATCTGAGCCAGACGTGTTGTGGTTTGTAACTTATAAATCCCCCAAAATTTCAAGTTCAAGTTCAAGTAGGTTTATTGTCGTTCTCACCACATGTGGTACATGAGGTGGGACAAAATTATGTACACAGGGTCCCAGTTACATCCAACAATAGCAAAAATATAAAGTGTAAAAAGGAATAATATATAAGAATCTAAGCTAAGATATATGCTAAATGAACGCCAAACGGTACGCTAAAAGGTCTTATACGCTAACACTAATAATGCAAGACATTATGCAGTACAGCGTAACAGCATCCCGAACATGAGTCTGTGTGAACAGACGAATGAATACAGCAGCATGAAATAATCAGCAGCATGATATCAGCAGCACAGATAAGTCATATATCAACAATTAAAGTGGCATTACAGCAATTTATTATTTATTTTTTAATTTTTGATTTTGACATTGACAAGCTGCTGCCTCTCAGCAGGTCCCTGGTTCAAATCCTGGTCCGGGGGCCTTTCTGGGTGGAGTTTGCATGTTCTCTCCGTGCATGCATGGGTTTTCTCCGGGTACTCCGGTTTCCTCCCACAGACTAAAAACATTCTTGTTAGACTGATTGGTAACTCTAAATTGTCCCTAGGTGTGAGTGAGAGAGTGAATGGTTGTTTGTCTCATTTGTCTCTATGTGGCCCTGTGAAGGACTTGCGACCTGTCCAGGGTGTAGCCCGCCCCTCGCACAGTGATCACTGGACATGGGCACCAGCGACCCCCTTGACCCAAAATGGAAGAAGCAGGTATCAATCAATCAATCAATCAACTTTATTTATATAGCACATTTTAAAAACCACAAGGGTAGCCAAAGTGCTGCACAATAAAACAATAAAAACAAACAAAACAATAAAAACATACAAAGCATACACAAAGAAACATAAAAACCATTCACATACCAGTTTCACAGCAGGTGTATTAAAAAGCCATAAAAGATAAGATCACGTGTTAAAAGCCAAAGAATAAAAGTGTGTCTTTAAAAGAGATTTAAAAACAGGTAAAAGATGATGTATGGATGGATTGACATTGACAAAATTTGACATTGATTTTTCTGGTTAGCGATTTATGAGTCGCCACACGTATCCCCCTATCGACCTCTTGCTCTATTTTTCCCTCATTTGTGAACAAGACCCTGAGATACTTAAACTCCTCCACTTGGGGCAGGCTCTCCTCCCCGCTCCGGAGAAGGCACTATACCCTTTTCTAGCTCAAGACCATGGCCTCGGATTTGGAGGCACGGATCCTCATCCCGGTCGCTTCACACTCGGCTGCGAACCGCTCCAGCGAAAGCTGTAGATCACGACCTGATTAAGCCAGTAGGACCGCATCATCTGCAAGAATCGGGAGACGCAATCCTAAGGACACCAAAACAGATCCCCTCAACACCTTAGCTGCGCCTAGAAATTCTGTCCATAAAAGAAAATGAATGGATAGATTTATGAGTCTAACATCTTTATGGTAGAAGCTGTTCCTCAGTGTAGTGGTTCTAAACTTGATGCTCCACAGCCTTCTGCCTGAATGTAGTGGGGCAAAAAGTGTGTGCTGTGTGAGTGGGGTTCTTCATGATGCAGGTGGCCCTCTTCCTGTATCTAGAGGTGTAGTTGTCTGTGATGGTGGGGAGGCTGACTCCCAACAGTCTTCTGTACAGCCTTCACCACTCTCTGTAGAGCTTTCCTTTCTTCAGCTCTGCAGCCCCGTGCCACACATTGATGCTAGCGCCCAGGATTCTCTCCATTATGTACCCGTGGAAGCAGGTGAGGACTGAGCTTCCCAGTCCAGCTCGCCTAAGCTGCCTGAGGAAGTAGAGTTGCTGATGTGCTTTCTTGATCAGGCTGTTGGTGTTGTTGCCCCAGCTGAGGTTGTCATTCATGTGCACACCCAAGTACTTGTAGCTGGAAACCACTTCCACCACAGCGCCTCAGGGGTCAGTATGCCAGGGACAAGTTTGTTCGCTCCGTCTGAAATCCACGACCATCTCCTTAGTCTTCTTCACACTGACACAAAGGTTGTTCTTCCTACACCAGCTCTCCAGGTGTTCCACCTCCTGCCTGTAGCCAGACTCATCATTTGTGAGGAATCCAACCATCACTGTATCATCTGCAAACATTACAATATGACAGCCTGGATGGTTAGGTGCACAGTCATATGTGAGCTGAGTGAACAGGAGGGGGCTCAACACATAGCCCTGAGGGGAACCAGTACTGAGGGTTATGGTGAAGGAGGGGAAGTTGTGGATCCTCACAGATTACCGTCTGTTGGTTAAGAAGTTTAGGACCCAGTTGCACAGGGAGGGGCTTAGTCCTAGTGTGAGTATTTTATCCATCAGGGTCTAGGGAATCATGGTGTTGAAGTGGATATGATATCCACAAAGAGCATACAGATATAGGAGTCCTTCTGCTCCAGGTGGGTGAGAGCAGTGTGGACCACAGAGGAGATGGCGTTCTCTGTTGATCAATTCTTGCGGTATGCATGTGTGGGTCCTCGCTGATGTCAATGGTAGCTTTGTCGATGTGGATTATGACCAGTCTTTCGTTGCATTTAGCGACTTATCGGGGTGAGGGCTACTGGCCGGTAGTCATTCAGACCAGTCATGGCAGAGCTCTTAAAAACTGGTATGATAGTGGCAGCCTTCAAGCAGGTGGGAGCAGTTGCCGGGGTGAGGGAGAAGTTACAGATATCAGCACCTCACAGAGCTGATTGGCACAGTCTCTCAGCACCTTCCCAGAATGTTATTTTGGCCAGTGGCTTTGTGAGGATTAATCCTCCTTAAGGAAATCCTTACTTCTGCTGAGGTCACACTGAGGAACTCATATTCCAGTGGTGAGGTGAGTCTGGTGGTGGGTGATCTATTTGGGTCTTCAAAGTGGGCATAGAACCTGTTAAGAGCATCAGACAGTGATGGGTCCTTAAAGCATTGTGCATATGATGATTCCTAAAGGCAATGCAATATAGATAGGTTAGTTGTATTGATCCAGATTTTGTTGTTTATAATAATTGAAGTTATTTTACAGATTGCATATTAGACATAATCAAATTCTAAAATGAAATAAACACTACAAAAATATTATTAGTTACAGAAGCTGAGTTCATTCATGTTCTTCTGTTTTTCTGAGTGCTTAAATTGACACATCCATCCATTATCTTGTGTGAGAGGTGGGAGACACCCTGGACAGGTTGCAAGTCTGTCACAGGACCTAAAATGACACATTCAAGGACATTTTTTTCAAAAGTAATTTTTGGTCATTTCATAACAGGATATTGAAGCTAAAGAGGCAGCTCAGAAAGAGAAGGAGATTGATGAGCAGGAAGCCAATGCCTCCTCCATGCATCGTTGCCGCACCATGCTCGACAAAGACCTCATTAACACAGGCATTTACGAGTCAACAGGGAACCAAAGCCTGCCCTTGGTGCAGCTTGTACAGCAGCTTTTAAGGTATCTACTTTCTGCATTCACCAACACATGAATACATCAGTTTTTCTCTCCCTGATAAAATATGTACATGTTTAAATACTACAGAAATATCGCCTCTCAGACCATAGCAAGATTAAAGGATGTTGCGCGCCGCATCTCCAACTACTTAGAGGCTGAACATGTCAGCAAGGAGCGCTCTGCATCTCTGGATCTGCTCCTGCGTTTCCAGAGGCTGCTGGTCAGCAAGCTATACCTGGGTGTTAACAGCACAGAGGATGTTAATGGATATGGTAAGATGCTTTGTTAGGTTCAGACCATTTTTTTTTACTCCATCAGATTTGTTTTTCAGTCTTTGTTTTTTCTGCAGATCCTGAGCTTTTTGGTGTTGGCTCCTTGCTAAAAAAGTATATCGCCTTCTTGTGCACTCACATTGGAGATATTCTCCCTGTGGCAACAAGTATTGCATCCACCGGTCGCAGACATTTTGCTGAAGTTTCTCGTGTTATTGAAGGAGATCTCACTGGTAGTTTCCCTCCCTCAGTGTTTCTGCAGCATGTTTATCTTTGAGGTTTTTGTCAGACAGTTATGGACACTTTGTTGTTGTTTTGTAAATTAGGAGTCCTTCTTCCAGAGCTGGTGGTGTCTATCATCCTCCTCCTTACCATTGATGCTAAACTGATGCAGGAGACTGGTTCTATCCCTCTGCTGGCTGGACTCCTAGAGCACTTGGACCGTTTCAACCACTTGGCCCCAGGACATGAGAGGGATGATCATGAGGACTTGGCCTGGCCAGGCATTATGGGTAAACTGTAACTCTCATAAGATTAGATTCAGTATATTTAAGATCCTAAATTCTACAATGAATATTGATTATTTTTCCCATTATTTTAGATATTAAGGTAGCTAACTTTTCTGTTGTGTTGACAGGGTCTTTCTTCACAGGGCAGAATTCTAAGAACAACGACGAGATTTCACTTGTACGTAAGGCTGACCTGGAGAATCATAACAAAGATGGTGGCTTCTGGACAGTAATTGAGGGAAAGGTCTATGACATTAAAGACTTCCAGGCTCAATCCCAGTCGCTAACAGGGAACAGCATTTTAGGTAAGGTTAAAAAAATCAATTTAGATTTAAATATGTTGTACTATTATTTGTTTTTGAAAGGTTCAGAGCAATATTTGTACTGCCTAATGATCACTTTTTATCTTATTCAGGGTGCCAATACATAAGCACTGATGCACCTGTATTACTATATAGCTGTTAGTCTGTCCCTCTGGTTTGGAAAGAAATATGCAAGTATACAGTAGTCCCTCGTTTATCGCGGGGGTTACGTTCCGGACACCCCTGCAATAAGGAACAAACCACGAAGTAGGAATGCTATATTTATTTTAGTATGTATATATTTTAAGACTTTATAAACCCTTCCTACACTCTTGCGATGCTCTAAACTCTTAACCTGCATAATTTTAATTTAATTTTAATACATATATGTACTGTACAGTACTGCAAAATTTTACTCACCAGCTCTGCAGAACGGCAGCTCGATTCCGGTCCGGCTCTGTTCCCGTTCAGCAGACCTACCCTGCAGCGACAAAGCCCACAATGTTCTAAATTCTTAAACCTACATAATTTTAACAATATACCTATATGTACTGCACATTAGCTACTGCAAAATTTTATATGAGGAACTCACCAGCCTTAGTTCGTTTCTGGTCGAGTTCTTATTGGCTGTCTGTAGCCGTTGTGCACCAAGACGGTTTTGGAGGAGCCGAACCTTCGGTGAGCAAGCACAAAACCACACAATGGTCCCGATCGAGTCCAAATAATCCAGACGAATCCGGATGAAAAAAGTTCGGGTGAGCTCTGGAGAAGACACCGGACCTCCCCACTTGAGATGCTCCCTGGGCCAGCAAGCAGCTCTCAGATTGACCGATGAGGCTGGAAGTAGTTCTGGTTCGGTTCTAATCGGCTCTCTGCATCCACTAAGCACCAAAGTCACTATGAATAAGGACAGACCTTTTTTGTTAGGTTTTTTTTGTCAGGTTGGGATTGGATCAAAACTTTCCCTCCATTTTGGCAGAAAGCAGCGGGCCGGAAGCACTGTTGACTTCTGGATATTGCAATGATGGCTTCTAGGTAATGTGGTTCTTTTGGACTGGCAATACAGTGTAGGCTAATTGAAAGAAAACTACAAAATGGTGGCGCCTGTCCAAAGTATTTTTTTTGTTAACTTTTTATCTTTAGAGTGGCAAGTGATGGAGTAGGCAGCAAGTCATGGGCTCTTGCTATCATTTCATTCTTTAACTGTTAATACCCTGCTCTATAGCATATACCGTATTTTCCGCCGTATGCATCGCACCGCCATATAAGTCGCATCAGTCCATATTTGTCTAATAAAGTGGAAAAATCCATAAATCAATCAATCAATCAACCTTTATTCATACAGGTAAATCCCATTGAGCCTCGAGGACTCATTTACAAGAGAGACCTGATTTCAACAAAGAAAGATGACAACAATGGACAACAGCAACAACAATAAACAGTTATAAAAAAGCATACTACATGTTTTTATTTATTTATTTGTTTATAACAAATAGGATGGCTAAAAGGAAAAGGTAACAAAACAAAAAACCCCAGCTAGATTCCAAGACAAATGTAAAAAAAATAAAAACAGGAACATGTCTGCATTGGTCCCTGCCAGGTGTCCAACAGATTCTTAAAGACACTTAGAGAGGTCAAGGTCGAGAGCTTTAAATCTTTTTGTAAGATGTTCCAGGAAACAGGAGCGGAATAGGAGAAGGTCCTTTTGTCTAGTTCAGTCTTCATTGAGGGAACACTGCAGGTAATAATGTCCTGAGAGCGCACGCTGTAGCTGCACTCACGCAGAGACATGTAGGAGATGTATGAAGGCAACAGACCAAGAAGTGATTTAAAGATGAAAATGTACCAGTGAGAGGGTCTGCATGAAGTTAATGATGTCCAGTTAACCAGTGAATACAGGGTGCAGTGGTGGGTACGATAATCACAGCCAGTTATGAATCTTAGTGCACCATGATAGACAGCATCCAACATCTGCAGGGTTCTTGTAGGAGCGTTCATGTAAATAATATCACCAAAATCAATTGAGGGAAGGAAAGTCACAGAAACAAGGCGTTTTCTAGCATTCAGGGTTAGACAGGATTTGTTTCTGAAAAAGAAACCCAGTTTAACTTTCAATTTCTTTACCAAGTTTTCCACATGGAGCTTAAAAGAAAGATGTGAGTCGACCAAGATACCCAAATATTTATAGGAATCAACAAACTCAATGGGGACACCATTTGAGGATAAAATCGGAGGAAGAACTGCTGGGACCAACTTCCTATTTGAAAAAAGCATCCCTTTGATTTTGTCGGCCTTTAGGACAAGTTTGAGGTGAAACAAATCAGTCTGGATGTAGTTGAATGCAGATTTCAAAAGCTGGAAAGCCTTAGCAACTGTTTTAGCTCGACAATAAACAACTGTGTCATCAGCATAGAAATGTATGGATGCATTAGGGATGTTTTTACCTACATTATGTATGTAGACTGTAAAGAGGGTGGGTCCTAAGACTGAGCCTTGTTGTACACCATTGTTGACTGTTAAATAACTGGAGGAAGTACCATTTTATTGAACACATTGCCTCCGGTCTGAAAGATAGTTAGAGAACCAACCAATGGTGTGTTCTGAGAAACCGATTTCTGAGAGTTTATGACACAAGATGTTCTGATCCACAGTGTCAAAAGCTTTAGACAGGTCTAAGAAAAGTGCAGCACAATAATCCTTAGCATCCAGTGCTTCAACAACGTCATTAAGAACCTTCAGTGAAGCAGTGGTTGTGCTGTGTTGTTTCCTGAAACCAGATTGATGTGGAGGTAAGATGTTAAATGAGTCCAGGTAATTTTTGATTTGAGAGTTTATCAGTTTTTCTAGAACCTTGGCTAAAATGCAGAGTTTAGAGATTGGTCGATAGTTGTTCAGTGAGGTGGGGTCACCTCCCTTCAGCAAAGGAAGAACAAAGGCTGTTTTCAAGTGTCTGGGATGGAGTTTTGTCTTATGGAGAGATTGAAGATGTGGGTCACAGGGACTGTGATGATATGAGCAGCCAGCCTTAAGAAATAAGGTGGAAGTTCATCTGGACCTGCAGATTTTTTAGGATCAAGATCTTTTAACAGTTTATTGACCTCACTGACTGAGAACGGAGAAAAAGAGAAGCTGTGATTAACTGAGGATTGACTTGTAGGAGGGATTTGATTTGTAGAAGTTTGGTTATTAAGTGAAGTGGCTGATCTTCCATTAGTAACTGTGTCAAATAAAGAACCAGAAGCAACAAAATGTTTGTTGAAACAGTTCAGGATCTCGTGCTTATTTGACACAGGAACAGAGTTAATGAGAAGTTGTGATGGGAGGTCAGATGATTGGGGGGTGCCTGAGAGAGATTTGATGGTTTTCCAGAATCTGTTAGGGTCATTTAGATTTTTGGAGGTCTGAGATAAGAAATAGTTGTGTTTTGCTGATTTAACAGCAGTTGTACATTTATTCCTCATCTGTTGAAAACTCAACCAATCAGTGTCTGAGTCAGATTTTCTCGCTGCAGCCCAAAGATGATCTCTCCTGTGCAGGAGGTCAGCTAGCTCTGGAGTAAACCAGGGGCTGTCTCGTCCCTTTATTCTGAACTGACGAAAAGGAGCATGTATGTTCAGGAAATAAATGAAATTATTATGGAAATAGTTCCAAGCGGAGTTCACGTCATCAGTTAACAGAATACGATGCCAGTCAAAGTGAGACAGATCCCAGAGGAATGACTGTTCACAAAAATGTTTCAGATCCCTTTTTTGAATTAATCTGGGCTTAGAAGGTGGAAGTTTAATATCTCTTAAAGCCGCTGTCACACAATGATCACTCAAAAGATCAGCGAATACACCTGTACCAGTGAATTTGTGAGGCATATTAGTTAGAAATAGGTCTAAGATGGAGGATTTTTCTGGACGATTTTTATTTAATCTAGTGGGGGAGTCGATCAGTTGGGTTAAATTAAAAGACAAGCAACATTCCTTGAATTTGTCACAGAGGGGGGTCGACTTACACCAATCAATGTTGAGATCTCCAGCCAAAAAGACCTCTGTGAATTTTAAATTACCAAGGAATTCCTTGATGGCATTTAATGCCTCAGGTGAAGCTGAGGGGGGGCATAGCAGCAGACTACAGTTAAAATCTGGCCTCCATTCAAGGTGATGTTTACAGATAAGGCTTCAAACTGATTTGGAATTGTTTTGGAAGACACAAGACTTGAAACCAGAGAATCTCTAATGTAAATAATGACTCCACCCCCCCTTTTTTGACGATCACAGCGGTAGATGTTAAATCCATTGATTGCCACGTCATTATTCATTACAGATTTGTTGAGTCAGGATTCAGAAATAAAGATAACATCAGCCCCAGAAGAACTGATCAGGATTTTCACAGCATCAAGTTTTTTCAGAAGGCTACGAGCGTTTACATGCAGAAAATGAAGCCCAGAGGCATTTTTAAAGTCATTTGGTGTGCTGTAATTAGTGGGGGGTCCAGGGTTGGGTTGAATCCCTGAGAGCAGTAACAACATTATTATCAGACATTTTCTTGAGTTTTTTGTGACTGATTTGTAATTACAGCAGTTAACAGTGTGACAATTAGCCCCCATAATCGAACCATGAGAAACATTAATGAAGACGTGATCATTCAGAATCCAAAAACAGTGAAAGTTGCAGTGATGGGCAGATTCAGGTGTATTAACAAGATTCAGTGACTCCAGATAATCTGAGAACTGAAAATAGTGACAGTAATATGAATGATGCAGAAAAGTTTCAGACCATAAAACGTCACAGTTCAAATGGGCAAACAAACCCGATGAGGTGGCCCAACTGCAGTTTGAGTCGGGCTGAGGGGGGCTCCGGCCCCCCAGTGAAGATGGGATGGATGGATGGATGGATGGATGCTCCCATGAGAAACAGAAGCTGGGTCCAGAATCAACAGGCCGAAACAGAAACAGATAATTCGCAGCAAATAGCAGAACGAGCTGTCAGAAAATCCTCCTGAAGTGAAAGGCATGA